CCCCATAAAAGACTGCCTGATTCAAGCTACATGAGACCATGCTTCTAAATAATTGGTGAAAGGAACTGGTGAGAATTTAGTGCACGAAGCCGTCCCCCAGTTTCTAAGTCTCGTGTCTTGTTCAATCATGGGTGTTTCAGAATAAATATTGAACCATTAATATGTTATTGTACGTGTAAATTACCATTGAGCCACACTTTTGCCCCTTTCCCCTTAACATGATCCCCCACCCCCCACTCCCTGGTATTCTTCCCGATGCGTGACAGCGCGATGGGGTCATTGACAGGTGTTCATTCACTCCCCCCCACTCCGAAGGCTCTTGGTCTCAAAAATAATTCCCTGTCCAGAAACACTCCTACGAAGATCCTGTGTTAGCACATTCACAATGTACTCCAGTGTCATGCATAGTTGTGGAGAAATATCTCTTCTCTCCACGGGGGTGGTGAGGGTAGGCTGTGTAGCTGGGATACCTCCCAAACCATCAGCATCCCCAGTCCTCCCAGTTACTTCATCTAATTTGCTCTGTCTCTGAAGAATGAAAATGTGCGAGAAAATATGTTGGTTAACTTGGCCCTTAAACGGAACCAAGTCGGGGGAGAGGGGGTGGGGGGTAGGGGTTCTTGTGAACTTTTGAAATGGTATAGAGAAATTATGTCATAAAGAAAACGGAGAGAGAAATGGGATTATATTTATATAAACGCTTGGAATTCCTCTACCCAACCCCTCCCCTTCCTCCTTTCCTCCACCCCTCCCACAAAAGAGAGAAGGATGCTAAATTTATTGCACTTATCCAAGGGACACAAGTAAGACTGCAGTCCGAGGAGATAAAGAACTTATGATCCACCAATCAGTGTCAATGGTAATTGATACTACATCTTGGCCCTTAGCTAAAGTAATGCGGCAAAGTCGAAAAAGAATCCTTAATAGCCAGCTTCATCCACAGAACAGTTTTTGGTGCAACAGAAAAGCAAATTGATCATAAATCCATGCAGCCACTCTAGTCGAACAGTAAGGCACTTTCGCAAAGCTAACGAGTAAATTTATTCACAACACATTCAGTAGGATATTCGTTTCAGCAATGGTCAACTGTTTATAAAACTAGATGATAGATGATAAGCACTGTAGAACAGTTATTCAGTGAAAACTATCTTACGATATCAGTAATTCATTCAATCAATTTACATTTTCATAATATTTTAAGGAGCTTATTTATGGAAACTTCTGCATGCAAAAAATACCAAAAATACACTTCAAAAGATTTGAATAAAATTGAAATTCTATACCAAGCAAAAACTTATTTAAACTCTTTCATGCCTAACAGCCAAGGTGAAGTAAAAAACCTTTCTGTCGAACTTAGTCAATTTCTTAGTAAATTCATTTCAAATTTTCTTCCTGCTACTTATTACCTGTAAAATTTTGAGGTCTTTCGGCTAGGCTTACTTCAACTTTAGGTGGCAATCATGTCTAAATACTTCTCCTTAAATTCATCGTTTCACAGTCTTTGTTGAATTACGATGCTGATAAAAGCATAGAGTTACCAAGCAATTTGCACAACTTTCGCTGGGTGAGTAAATGACTGTTATCAAACAAGAAAAGGCAACTTAAGATGCATGTATGCTGATAAGAATGCATGTTTCAAGTTGGCCTCACATCAGCAACAATTTATACTTATTGGTGCTAGTGTACAATCGTTTTTTTTT